TAAAGTTAGTTCAGGTTTAAAATTTTCTACACATAGTTTTGATTATTCAGATCTAATTTTTTTAATATTTTTACTTAATAAAAAATTTAATTTAAAAGCTTCTATACATAGTGATGGTAAAAGTAAATATAATCAATATATAATATATATTTGAAAAGAATCTATGCCTAAATTAGTAGAAATTATAAAACCTTATATTATACCAAGTATGAAATATAAATTAGGTAAATATATATAATTATTACATAGTATTATATATTAAATTAATGTTATTATTAATATATAATGCGACATTATTGAAAACTGGTCAAAATTATATGTTAAGTAATAAGACCGTGAGTAATTTATGTTATTCCGACAGAGTGGTTCAATAATGGGTAAGCTAAATGCTGCTTAATGTGCACTCGAATATTTTAGGTCATTAAATAAACCTCACAAGGCCTATGATATAAATTAGATAATAATTATATTATCTATTCATAGGTACATGGTATAAATTATGTTAACGGCAATTATTACAAAAATTGCGATATAAATCTCATAATTTATATTAAAATATTGGCAGTTGTTATTACAAATTTATTCTCAGCAATACCTTGAATAGGTAATGATTTAGTTGAGTTTATTTGAGGATCTTTTAGTGTAGCTAATTCTACATTAAATAGATTCTTTAGTTTACATTTTTTATTACCTTTTATATTAGCTGCATTAATTATAATGCATTTAATAGCTTTACATCAAAATGGGTCTAACAATCCATTAGGTATAAGTAGTAATTGTGATAAAGTTCCATTTCATCCTTATTATACATATAAAGATTATGTAGGATTTTTTGTATTTTTTTTAATTTTATCATTTTTTGTATGTTTTATTCCTAATTTTATGGGTGAACCTGATAATTATATACCAGGTAATCCTTTAGTTACTCCTCCTTCGATGAATATCTTTTTATTGAATAGTATATTTCCGTTTATAAAAAAAAATTTTAGTACTAGTAAAATTTTATCATTAAATAATAATAATGATAAAGGATATATATTTATTAATGGTAAAAAAAAATTAATTTCAAAAAAAGAATTATTATCTTTAATTGAAAATATTAAAATTAAAACTTTTAATAATCATAAAGGTGATTCTGATTGAAATCATATGTTTAAATTATTAATTAATGGATTTTTTCAAGCAGAAGGTCATATTGGTGGTTATTTTGAAACTCAATTAAAATTTCGGCCTATTGTATATTTATGTCAAAATATAAGTGAACATAGTATAGAATTATTTTGTTTATTATCTATGGTTTTTAATAATAAAATGGAATGGATTATATCTAAAAATAAATTTAATATATTTCATATTCGTATACAATCTAGAGACTGAATTTTTATAATTAATGATTTTATTCCTTATTTTTCTTTTTTATATGGAGATAAATATAAAGGTCTTATAAAATTACAAGAAATTTATTATTTAATGAAAAATTTTAAAAAAGATGATATAAATTCTATTAAATTATTATATTTATTAGCTTATAATTTAGTTGATAATTCAAAAAGAAAAATTAATATTTATGATGCTTTATACAATATCACTAATATAAAATTTTCACTTAATGATTTAAAATTAAAAAATTATATGGATAACGATAAAGACATGTGTTTACTTTTTATTTTAGGATTATATTTAGGTGATGGTAATTTAACAATTAGAATTAAAGAAAATAAAAATAAAAGTATTTCATTTATTCCTGTTTTTAAAATAAGTCAAAAAATAACCACAGATAATATTTTATTATTAAATAAAATAAAAATATATTTAAATAAACAAAATATTAATTCTAATATTACAAAAAGTAAACATAATTATTTATTTCAAATAGAAGGTAAAAATTATATTACTCAATTTTCAGAAATGATAGATAATTTTAATTATTTTTTATTTTTTAAAAAATATCAATTTTATAATATTAAAAAATCTTTAAAATATTTACATAAAAGTTTATCTAATATAAAAAATATTCAATTAATGTTATTAAATTATTACTATTCTATTAATATTAATTTTAAAAAATCTTTTGATTTTTGAGAAAAAAAAATATTAGAATATTTTAATGAAAAAAAGATAAATTCTTTATCTAATCATTCATATATAAATATATCTAAAGATAAATCTTGATGTGTTATTTTACCTTCTATATTTAAAATTAAACCTAAAAGAAAATATTTCTTTTTTAAAACTTATAAAAACTCAAAAATTAAAGCTTTAGAAGCTGCTATTAAATATAAAGAAGATCAAATTTATAAATGATTAAAAGATAATCATTTATAAAAAATTTTTTTATATAAACGAAAATATACTATTTTTATTTTTTTATAGGTAACGTCGCCCTTAATATAAATCTTAAGGGAAAAAAAGGTGAATTGTCAAGAAACTCCTTATTTATTAAGGGATAACTTGCAGCGAAGCATACAACGGCACCGTATGTGTTGTATGAACGTTCAACGACTAGATGGTAAGTAGTGTCAACAATAATCCATCAATGAGCGCCTTTAAACGAATGTTTTGTATAAAACACGTTAATGAAATAGTCTAAATGATCAAGAAATTGATCAAGGAGAAAGTTTAGATACTTTCTTAATTGATATATATATATATATCAATTTTTATTGAGTACCTGAATTTTATTTTTTACCTTTTTATGCTATTTTAAGATCTATTCCACATAAATTATTAGGTGTTATAGCTATGTTTTCAGCTATAGCTATTTTATTTGTTGTACCATTTTTAGACTTATCTAATACAAGATCAATGCAATTTAGACCTATTATAAAATTTTTTTTCTGATTATTTATAGCTAATTTCTTTATTTTAATGTGAATTGGTTCTAATCATGCTGAACCTCCATTTTTAAATATTGGTGTAATTTCATCAATTTATTATTTTTCTTATTTTTTAATTATATTACCTTTAATAAGTATAATTGAAAATATTTTAGCTGATATTGCTACTAATCATTTTCAATCAAATACAAAAAAAAATTAATTCCCTTTAATTCTAATTATAATAAATTTAATAAAAATAATAAAACTAATATAATTCTTATTCGTAAGTATACTACAAAATCAAAATAATTTTATCAATTAGTTAATTCTTATAACAATATAAATTTATCTAATTCATGGATTAATACTAATTATTATTTAATACTTGTATCAAAATGGTCTTATGAATTAATTCAATGATTTGTTGATTTTACTGATACATAAGATATGTTTATAATAAAAAAATTCTAAATTTTCTTCAGGTAAAATATAAACTATAATGAATTTTTAAATCAAACTTCATTATGATCATTTACCTTTATAACAATAAATGTGAACTTATTTAATAAAGGTTCTATTAATAAAGAAAAAAATATAGTTAATTTATAATTATAAGTATATATATTTTAAAAAATATCTTAATTCCAATATTTTTAAGATTTTCTTTGAATACTAAAAAATATTTAGATTTTAAAGATTGGTTAAAAATATATCCTTTTATAAAAAATTCATCTTAGAAGATAAAAATCTAGAATTTATTTAATTTCAAATTTGTAATATGAATTCAAAAAGGTCTTATTTAACCTGATTTACATATTAATATAACTAAATATTGGTTATTAGAATTTGTAAAAGATGATGGTTATTTTTTAGTAATAGTACTCACCTATAAATAAGGTCTATCTTATTTTATTATTATACAAAAGATACTTATAATATAACTTAAAATAAAATTATTCAATTTTTAAGTTTTAATAAAGTTTGAATACAAAAAATAAAGTTTCTTATCTTAGAATATCAGATATTAAATCTTTATATAATATAATTTTATCTTTATTTAATAAATTACATTTCTTTAAAAGGGTTAGATTTTTATCATAAATCTTGTTTAGTAAAATTTCATTATTATGGTCTACCTTACGGTAGAGATGATGTAAAACATTCTATAAAATGTATTTTACAATTTATGAATTTTTATAGATTATTTACTAATATTATAAAATATAATACATATTAATATAAATTATAATAAATTAAATAAATTATTAGAATTTATTCTATTATATACAGATATTACATGATCACATAAAGCAATAGGTATAATAAGTTCAAAAAAGTATATCTATATAATAAGGATTAAATATAAATTAATATTTATTCATCTATAAGAGAAACTTCTAGAATTTAAAATTTACCTAAAATGTCTATCAATTTTAAATTAGATACTGGTTTATTATATAAAGATTATTATTTAAATTCAAAACCATTATTAAATTTTTTTTATTATTAATTATTTATAATTAGTATGATTATTTCATTTTTAGTTTTTTAATTTATATTTAATTAATTGAAATTATCTAATAATTATAAAATAATATTTTTATAAATAAAATTAGTACTAATATTATTATAATTTATATTTTTTTTCATAATGGTATTTATATTTCAAATAAAAATTATAAATACTTAATATATAATATAAAGTAATTAAATAATAATTGCAATGCTGTATAAAAAGTGAACTTATTCAAATAGTTACCACAATAAAAGGACTAAGATTTGTAATAAGTATTACAAATTAAAAATGTTTTATTACTACTAGTATGAAAAGTAATAGATGTAATAATGAGTGATATTAATGATGAATTCATACTAGTTTTAATAAATAATATATTAATCTATAATTATTTATAATCTGAGGATTAATCTTTAAATAATTTTAAATCTAAAGATTTATTCTTATTAAAAAATTTAGAATCTAAAAATAATAAAAAATTAGATTCTTTAAAATTAGAAAATTATTTTAATCTTTAAATATATATATTATATTTATATATTAATATAAAAAATATATAAATATTTAAAGGAAAAATCGCCTAATGGTATGGCAATAGTTTGCTAAACTACGGATGTTATTCATCCTTGAGGGTTCAAGTCCCTCTTTTTCCACTAAAAATATAAAGGGAAATAATTTAATTGGTAAAATATTAGTCTTCAAAATTAATTTTAAAGGTTCAAGTCCTTTTTTCCCTGAAAATAATTCCTAATATTAATTATAATAATTATTTTTACTCGTTTAGCTTAATTGGATAAAGCACCGATCTTCTAAATCGTAGAGTAAAGGTTCAAATCCTTTAACGAGTATAAAAATAAGGTATACATTATATAAAAAATATAAAATATTTATAATAAATTAGTTAATATACTATTTTTATTTGGGTAGATGACTGAGCTGGTTTAAGGTGTTTCGCTTGAAACGAATTAGGGTTATGAATTACCCTCATGGGTTCGAATCCCATTCTGCCCGTTTACGGATAGTGGCGTAATAGGTAACGTATCTAATTTGGGATTAGAAGATTGTAAGTTCAAGTCTTGCCTATCCGATAAATAAAAATAAGAAAATAAATAAATAATTTATTTTTATACACTTATTATAATAATATGAATACTTTTATTTTATATATAATATTTACACCTTTATTATTAACAGGTTTATTAATAGCAAATTTTTTAATATCTATGAATAAACCTGATTTTTCTAAATTATCACCATATGAATGTGGTATGGATACTATAGGTACAGCAAGAGAAAAATTTAATATACAATTTTATTTAGTAGCTATATTATATTTGATATTTGATATAGAAGTAATATTTTTATTTCCTTTTGCTTCTGTATTATACGATATTTCTATATTTGGTTTCTGAATAGCTACTATTTTTATTATAATATTAACTATTGGTTATATGTTTGAATTAAGTAAGGGTGTACTTAATTTTGTTAAAAATTAATATATTATTATAAAAATAATTCCTATTTTTATAATATAAATTATTAAATATTATTAAAAAATATAAAAATATATATATTAAAAGAAGCATTAAAAAATTATTTATGTAAAAATGAGTAACATGAATATATTAAATAAATTAAGAAGTTTAGGGTTATTAATTGGGGCTATTACTGCTCATCATTATGGTGGTAAATTATTAGATTATTGAGAAAAAATGAAAGATAGTAAAATATTAAATAATATAATAAATGATGATTTAAATGAAAATGTGTTTAATATTAATAAAGATATTTTAATTAGAATTAGGGGTAATGTAGAAGAATTAAATAATATATTAAATATGTTTAATGTAAATTCTGAAAACTTCCTTCCTAATTTTTATATAGATAAATTATATAATTTTCTTGATAATTTAACACTTTTACAAGAAAGTGCTTTTTTACATATTATAATGTTTATAGTTTTATTATTAATTGTTATAAATATATTAGCAAGTTTATTTAGTAATGAAATTCTTAAATATTTTAATATTGAAAGTAAATATCCATCATTAACAAAATTTTTGAAGATACGAAGTTAATTTCAAAAATATTATTTTATATGAAATATTGGTTTAATGTTTTTAATATGTATAGTTGGTATATGTATAAATTTATTAGTATTTTATTAAGTTAGATAAGAAAAAAATAGATGATTGTTTGTTAAAAATATATCGTTTATAAGGAATATATGAAAAAATAAAAAATTATTTCCTTAATAAATAATAAAATTATAATAAAATATATAGGAATAATTTATTTATTAATATATTTAGTTTATTAATCATAATAAAATATTAATATTTTATATAATTCCCTTTATACTTAAATAATAAAAATATTATAAAAAAATTAATATTAAAAAATATGAAAATATATATATTAAAAGAAGCATTAAAAATTTTTTTATTTATGTATATATTTAATCCATTAGAACAATTTGAAGTACAAAATTTTTTATCATTATCTACACCATTAGGAACTTTTTCTATAACTAATTCGGCATTATATTTATTTTTAGCTGTTATGTTTAGTTATATAATTATAAAAATAGCATCTAAATCACAAAATAAATTAATAGGTAATAATTTTACTATATTAATAGAATCATATTATAAATCAGTATCATCAATAGTTAAAGATCAAATAGGTAAAGAATATGAAATATATTTACCATTTATATTTGCATTATTTAATTTTATATTATTTTCTAATTTTATAGGATTAGTTCCTTATGGTTTTTCAGCTACTGCTCATTTTGCTTTAACTTTAAGTTTTAGTATAGCTATTATTATTGGTGTTACTATAATTGGTTTTGAAAAACATGGATTAGGGTTTTTTGCTGCATTATCTCCTTCAGGAACACCTTTAGGTTTATTACCTTTATTAGTAGCTATTGAATTTTTATCATACTTAGCTAGAGGTTTAAGTTTAGGTATTCGATTAGCAGCTAATATAACTGCTGGTCATATTTTATTAAATATTATCTCAGGATTTATTTATAAATTTTTAACAGCTGGATATATAATAGCTATTTTATCTATTATACCTTTTACTTTATTTATATCATTAGTAGGTTTAGAAGTAATTGTAGCTATCTTACAAGCTTATGTATGATGTGTATTAACTTCTATATATATAAAAGATGCTTTAATCTTACATTAATATATATAATTCCTATATTATATATATAATAATTAATAAAATATTTTATTCTAAAATAATAAAAGTATTATTTTATTTTTATATATTTCTATATTATTTTTAAATATATTAGCATATTTATTAAAAATTTTAAAACTTTTATTAATATATAGTATTATCTTTTATAATTAATTATTTATAAAAATAATCTATATATTTTTCGATTTCCAGTTGTTTATCATAATTTGTATTATCAGAGTTTATTATAATATTATTTAGATAATATATTAAATATAATACTGTATTATAGTAATTATTATATATTTTATAAAAAAAATGGGATTTTATAATTACCCAGCTTATTTATAAAAAAATAAAAAATATAATGTTTTACAAATATAATAAATAAATTTTAGGTGTAAGAATAATTATTGTTTAAGCAATGGCATAAATAGATAAACATAATAGAAATATAATAACATCTATTAGTAGTTTACCAAAAAAAAGATTATTAGATAAATTATATATAATTTCAGAATCATATTCATTAATTTTTATTGTATATAAAGATCAAATAAAAATAATAAATTATAAAATACTAAAGTAGATAATTAAATTGTATATATAACAATAGAAGAATTAGCTATATTTATGAATAATTTTATAGAAAATTAATAGGAAAATATTATTCAAATTTGAATAAATTTATCAATATAAATATTTGTAAATATTTCATGATGAGATATTATTAGTATTTTTTAAGAAAATATATATAACCGAAAGACATATAATTTTATCAATTGAGATAAAATTATTTGAATTTTTATATATATTAATGATAATTATAAAAATAATAAAGATCTTTATTTATTAGTGGTAATAATTGTTAAATAATTAATTAATAAAACTTCTATGAATTGGTTCATATTTTATAAATTTGTTATTTCAAAATATTGGAGTTTATATATTTTCTATATAATTGTATTATATTTATATTTTTTTTGTAAAGCAAGGGTATTATATTCCTTTAATTTTTTTATTTATTATTATAAATAATATTCTATATTTAATACAAAGTAAATAATATTTTTAAGTTAATATGCATAATAATAAATATATTTTACTTAATATAAAAATAAATAATAGTAGTATTTTTATTTCATATATTTATATATAAAGTAATATTTTTTAATATTATATAACCATATTTATTTAAAGACATATTTTTATTATTTTTTTTTCTTTAATTATAAGATATAAATATATTAAAAATTAATATAAATCTAATTATTTTTAAACTTGTTATTATTTCTATATTAGGTAATAAATACATAAAATATTGATCAAAATTTATATTATTACTATTATTATTATTAAATTTATTACTATAATTTAAAAAATTATTTTTATTATTATTCTTTTCATTTTTTTTTTACTTTTTTATAAAAATATTAATTCTTTTTGATAAATTTATAGAACTACCAGCATATAGCAAAAAGATCACTATTTTTATATTAGTTATTTTATATATACCAGATTAATTTTTATTATTTAGTAGTATTTCATTTTTTTGTTAATAAATTATTTTAAATTTAAATAGGAATTATAAAAAAACTTTTATTATTATTAACTATTTTAGATAAAGGTATTATTCATAAATAAATAATAAACCCATTATTATGAAAATAAAGAAATAAATAAAATATAAACTTATAAAATTTATTTTTAAAATATAGAATTTATACAAATAAATTATATTATTTATATAATAATTCATATTAGCTGATAATTTTTTTAATTCTGTAAAACCAGATTTTATAAAATAATAATAAGACTCCATTATTTTTATACCTCTTGAAAAATCTTGGTAATTAAAAGCTTTAACATTATATAAATAATATTAGTTGAAAAATGGTATTACATTTATACTTATATAAACCAATAATATATCAAAACTGAAGTATTAAGACTTGGTTTTATAATTTTACCTAATCTTATGATAATTTTTCGTTCGAGTTAATAATCTTTAATCTCTTGAATGTAATGATAATTTAAATTTTGGAATACATATATAACCTAATTTATTTTTTGATTTAGTAATATTTAATTCTAAATTATCATCTGTTTGTATAAATCCTGTTATTCAATTACCATTTCTAGGTTCATTTGATGAAATAAATTATAGGTTTTCTATTCAGGTATATGAGGTAATTTATTATAAAATGTAAGACTTAAACATTTAGGGGATATTTTTTTTGTTAAAATTTTATAAAAACCTAATTTAGTTAAATATTCTTTTTTAGTCATTTATTATTATTTTATATTTTAGGAATTATTATCCATAGATAAATAAGAAAGCCATCATTAAAGCAAATAAACCCATTGCCTCTACAAGTGCAAATCCTAATATAGCGTATGAGAATAATTGTCCTTTTAAAGAAGGATTTCTACTAAATGCATTTATTAATGAACTAAATACGTTACCGATACCCATAGAAGTACCACCTAAAGCTAAAACAGCTAATCCAGCAGCAATTAATTTAGCAGAAGCTAACATAAAAAAATTTTTTGTTACGTTTCAAACATAAATACTAATTTTATAATAAAATTATTTTATATTATCTTTAAAAATATTATAATTATATTATTTTTATATCATTACTTAAAAATATTTTTATACCTATAGAACCATTTTTTGCATTTGTTCCTCCTATACCTTTATTTAAGATATTACTATATTTATAATCAATTAAAGAATGTAAAGAATTAAAATGAAAACTACCTTTAGTAAAAACTAATTTTTTAGATCTACTAGCACTTTTTCTTTTCGTTAATCTACCTTTAATAATTCATTTCATACCTGAAATATTAGATATTATTTTTTTATTTAAAGATAATTCTTTAATTTTAATATAATTAAAAGATAAATTTTTAGATTTATTTTTTAAATTATATTTTTTTATAGGTATTTTTTTTTTTAATCTTCTTCATATTTTATATAAACTATATTTTTTTAAATTTAATGCTAAATATTGTGATAATATATCACTATTTAAAGCTGGTGAATTTAGTTTTATAATTTTTAAATTAATTTTAAACCCAAATAAAGAATTAAAAATATTTTCTAATTTTTTAAGATTTTTTAAATAATAATTATAATTATTATTTTTTCCACTATAAATAAAAATTATTACTTTTATAATATTATTAAATTTATATAAAAATATAGGATTACTAATTAAAAATATTTTTTGAAAATAAATTTTTAATATTTTAGTAATCATATTTTCAATAAAAATTCGATTTTTTATATCACTATAAAGAATACTTTTTCAATTACCAAGTTTATTTAATTTTAAACTAGTTGGATGTTTATATCCCATTTTTATATTTTTTTATTTATTATATTTCATCTCTATAAATATATATTATTATATATATATATATGTCGGATTAGCTTAATTGGTAAAGCAATAATTTTGTAAATTATTTTATAAGTGTTCAAGTCACTTATCCGGCATTGGATGTAGCCAAGTAGGTAAGGCATCGAAATTTGAATTCGATATGCAGGGGTTCGAATCCCTTCATCCAATTAAGGCGGAATAGTTTAAAGTAAAACCCCCGTTTCATGAGCGGGTATTAAGGATTCGTACCCTTTTCCGCTAAAATATTGCCTCGAGGATGACTCGAACATCCTACCTAGAATTTTCAGTTCTATACTTTAACCCGTTAAGCTATCGAGGCTAAATGAGAGTATTGGGAATCGAACCCAAATCATGCAGATTAAAAGTCTGATACTCTACCATTAAGCTATACTCCCTTGTATATATAGATTAGAGAGCGAATCGAACGCTCATAATTAGGTTTGCAGCCCAATACTTTACCATTAAGATATCTAATCTCTTTTTAGGCTTTGTAGCTTAAAGAAAGCAGGTATTTGTCGGATACCAAGTTGCCGTTTCGTAGACGGTCAAAGCCGTTATATTAATAATAGAATCGAATGGAATTGAACCATTATTTTTCGCTTATCAAGCAAACACTTTAACCATTAAGTTACGATTCCATATGAATCATATATTATAATAATATTGATCTCTGACGGATTCGAACCATCATGATGGCAATGAAGATACCAAATCCTAACCATTAGATGAAGAGACCTTAATAAAATATTAATATATATATATATTAATAAATTTATATATTGCGAATGATTGATTCGAACAATCTCTTTGAGATCATGAGTCTCATGTGCATACCTATTACACTTATTCGCATAAAATATATTTTTTTTATTATGAGGAGAGTAAGATTTGAACTTACATCTTCCCTGTTATGAGCAGTTGGCTCTACCGTTAAGCTATCTCCCCTTATTTTATTTGAGAAGCCTGGGATTTGAACCCAGAATGGTCGAAACCATCACTTTTACAGAGTGATTGCAATACCAAAATGCATGCTTCTCTTATTAATAATGTATGTACCCACTACGGGACTCGAACCCGTAAGCAATAGTGCAAACAATTTTAAGTCGTTTGAGTTTACCAATTTCTCCAAGTGGGCTTATAATTATATCTTACTTATATATATAAAAAAATATATATACTTAAAGTTTTTTTATTTCTTTAAATATATATATTAATATTTTATATAAGCCAGTATAGGTTAATAGGTAAACCATCCCTCTTCCAAAGGGAATTTATGTGTTCGATTCACATTATTGGCATAAATATTTTTATAGGGGATATAGTATAAATGGTAGTATATAGGTATTGCAAACCTAAGGAAAGAGTTCAATTCTCTTTATCTCCAAGGAGTGTTATAAAAGACTTTATTTATAAGAAACTAAAAAAGTTCATACTTATATTATTTTATTAATGTTTTTAAAAGAATTATTAATTATAGGAAGTACTATTTTTACTGCTATTTTAACATTAATATCTATTAATCCTGTATATTCTGTAATAGGTTTAATAGTTGTATTTATTTTAAGTGGTAGTTATTTATTATTCTTATCTATAAATTTTATTGGATTATCTTATTTTATTATATATGTTGGTGCTATTAGTATTTTATTTTTATTTGCTGTTATGATGTTAGATACTAAATATCCAGAATTAAATTCATTATTTTCTTTATCTTTTACTAAACATTTACCTTTAGCAGCATCTGGAATATTATTAGGAGTAATTTTACTTCCTATTTTATTAAATAATATAGATTTAGAATATTATAATTTATTTGATTATTTAAACGGAGGAGGACAAAATATTATGATTGAAAAAATATCTCATCAATCTGCTTCGTGAGATAATCTTTTAATTGGATCTAGCCAAATAAAAGTAATAGGTTATAGTTTATATACTCATTTAAGTTTATGATTATTAATAACAAGTTGTATTCTTTTATTAGCTATGATAGGACCTATTGTATTATGTTTTAAATCATTTAGTTACTAAATGTAATTTAATAATGGGAAATGATCTCAAAAAAGTAAATATAAAATAATTTATTTTAATATAAAAAAAATGTTACTTTCTATTATAGAAATTTTATCTATTATAGTACCTATTTTATTAGCTATTGCTTATTTAACATTAGCGGAAAGAAAAATAATGGGTTCTATGCAAAGAAGAATAGGACCAAATAGAGTAGGTTAAAAGAAAAAATTACTAATATTTTATCAAATAAAAAGATTATATCATACAGATGAAAAATCTGTTAATAAAAATAATTTAAATATTAATATTAATAATATTTTAGATAAAGAAGCTATATTAAAATAATATAAAAATAGAATAGCTTTAGTAAAAAATTTTGATTATAATCAAATTTTTGCTACTTGTTCTAATTTACTTAATTTAAAAGAAAGATTTTTTTACAATGAAAAAATAAAGGTGGAATTTATTTTATTCAATATAAATTCGATTCATATATTTTTTATATAGGAAGAACTAATAATTTCTATACTAGATTTTAATCTCATATAAAACATAAATTAAGTGATAAATTTCATTTATTTGTAACATTAGTTGGTTGAGATAAATTTGAATTTTCTATAATTGAAGAATGTTCTGTAAAAATACAAAAAGAAAGAGAAAATTTTAATTTACAAGAATATTAACCATTATTAAATACTTATATTATAAGTAATCAAAATAATACTATAATTAAAAATTTTTTATATGATAAATTAAAAATGGGACAAAAAAATTTGAATAATTTAATAAAATAAATAATAGTATTCCTGTATATATTTATAAATATACTGATACTTATATAGAAAATAATTATGAAAATTTTAATAGTATAAATAATCTTAGTAAAATTATAAAAATAGCAAGATGAACAATAAAATATATATTAATACTAATGTTCCATATAAAGGATTATTATTTTATATTAGTCCTTTTAATAATTTAGAATTATCTTATAAACTAGTTAAAGAATCTATAATAGATTTAAATCATAATATACTTAAAAAAGTATGAATATATTTAATTTCTTCAGATAGAAATATAGATAAAAAATGATTTTCTTCTATAGGAAAAGTTTCAAATTATTTAAATACTAGTATTATGTTTATAAAAAATCATATAGATAATTGAAAATTAGGAGGTATAAATGGTAATTATTTATTAAGTAAATTATTAAATGAAAAGGAACTTGAAAATTAAATAAAATTATCTTTACAAAATAATAAATAATCTTATATAAAAGTATGAGCATATAATACAAAACTATAAATAAAATAGAAGAACCTTTCAGAAGTGTATACAAAAAGCAGCAGAATATTTTAATATAGATTATAGAACAATTCAAAAACATTTAGATACAAATTTAGCTACTAAACAAAATGGATTATTAGTTTTATTTTTTTCTAAAGAATTAACTGAAGAATCAAAAAAAGAACAATTAAATAATATTAAAAAGAATAAAAATAGTAAAACGGAGGTTTGAGTTTATAAAAATCAAGAAAATAAATTGATTTTTATTAATAATAATGAACCTACTTTTTTTTATTTAAAAATAAAGCTTATAAAGAATTAGGTATTAGTAATAAAAAAATTATCTAAAATATTTGATACCGATCAACCTAAATAAGGTTGATCATTTTATAGTGAAAAATTATAATATAATTTATTATATTATAATTAAAATTTATTTATAAAATTTATTGATAAAATAAAGTAATTGTAAAAAAAGAAGAATTAAGAAACTTCTTAGGCCTAAAGTGGAAGTAAACCTTCTGCTAAAAACCATCAAATTGCGGGAACACCTTAAAGCTATTTCAACTAAACGAACACCGTAAGGTAGTACGTGGCACAGGTAATGACTCGTGGTATAGTAAAATCGAAATAGATGTACGAAAGGAAATAGGTAATCCGCAGCCAAGTAGCAATATAATTGCTATGCAGTTCATCGACTAAATGTTGGTTGGCGTAAAAAATTTTTAACGCTTAAGATATAGTCAGACCCCACCTAAAAGGGTGCAGAAAAACAAAATATATAATTTGTTTTTTGTTAAATGGATAGTAATAATTACTATTTAGGGAGAAAAATTCTAACTTTGTCTGTATCATGATTTTATATCATGAATGACTAAAAGAATAATTCGTTATTTGGATTATTACAACCATTAAGTGATGGTTTAAAATTATTATTAAAAGAAACAATTATACCATCACAAAGTAATAAATTAATATTATTAGGATCTCCTATATTAATTTTTACTGTTAATTTATTATCATTATGTCCTTTACCTCTAGGTAGAGGATATCAAATAATAGATATGGAATTAGGTATAATTTTTATATTAGCTATGTCATCTATTAGTGTTGTAGGTATAATATTAGCTGGTTGATCTAGTAATTCTAAATATTCTTTAATGGGATCACTTAGAACTACTGCTCAATTAATTTCATATGAACTAGTAATAGGTTTAATTATTTTAACTGTTATATTTATTGTAGGTTCATTTAATCTTAATGAAATAATATTATTTCAACAATCTACTATATTTGCTTTACCATTATTACCATTATTATTAATATTCTTTGTTGCTGCATTAGCTGAAACAAATAGACCACCTTTTGATTTAGTGGAATCGGAATCTGAATTAGTTAGTGGTGCCTTTACAGAATATGGTTCTTTTGCATTTGCACTTATCTTTTTAGGTGAATATGGAGCTATGATTTTAATGTCAGCTTTAACAAGTTTATTATTTTTAGGTGGATACTTATTTCCTTTTGAAGTATATTTTTCAAATAATATAGTATATTTGTTACAATCTTTATCTTTAGGTTTAAAAACATCTTTATTTTTATTTGGATTTATATGAGTAAGATCTACTTTACCTAGAGTTAAATTTAATCAATTAATTAATTTATGTTGAAAATCTTTATTACCTATAGTTTTAGGTATATTTGTATTAGTGTTTAGTTTATTAATAATAATTTAATATTATTTAATTCCATTATCTTAATAAAAAAAATAAGGAATATCATGCTAAAACATTTAACTTATTATAATAGTACTTTCACTATCGGGGGGTGTTTGATTATGTTTAAGTTCGCCTTTTCATATAAAAAGAACTATGACAACGATATCAAATGCACCCTCACGTTTAGATAATAAATGTATATATACAACTTGTGATGAATATAATATAAAATTAGAAATGCATAAATAAATTTCATTATTAGATTATGATAAAAATTATTTAATATCAGCTATATGTTTTGGTAATAATGGTGAATATATTATTATTATTAAAAAAAATACATTGATTAATAAAAATATATCAAAAGAATCACTTATTGATTTTATGATTACCAATATTGAATCTTATGCTTTTGGTTATAATATAAAATCAACTGATAGGATATTAATTAAAATCAAAGAAATAAGTCTAAATAATTAAAAAAATAAAAAATAATTAAATTCCACTTTTAATAAAAATAAAAGTTATATTATTAATAATATAAAAAATAGAAATATAGATATATTTATATAAATATTTAGTTTATTAATAATAATTTAATATTAATATCATAAATAATTTTATTTCTTAAATATAAAATTATTTAAAATATAGAATAATAAATAATATATATATACTATAAGTATTATATAGTGTATAAGATATACAAAAAATAACCAAGGAAAAAAAGAAATTATAGAGGATGACTAGCCATTATATCAAAAGGAGGTTAAATACCAAAATACTGTAGAATAATTAATGAAGCAGTAAAATCCTAAATTACATAAATTAAATAATATATATTATTTAATTTAATAGTAAAAGCTAATGTAATATAAACCTACCGAACTGAAACATCTAAGTAAGTAGAGGAAAATAAATCAACCGAGATATTTAAAGTAGTGGTGAGCGAAATAAATAATAGTCTAGATCGTAAGATCGATTTTATTTATAAATAATCTTAATAAGTTGGAAAACTTTAAAAATCCAAAGATGGTGATAGACCAGTGAGATAATAATAAATAAAATTAAATAAAGTAAAACGAGAGTAAACTTGTTTGAAAATAGGGGAACCATCCTCTAAGACTAAATATGATATAATGAGCGATAGAGTAAAGTACCGTGAGGGAACAGTTGAAAAGTAGTAAAATAAAATATTTGTAGATAACTAGTGAAATAGATCCTGAATCTGTAATTTTATAAGTAGTGATAAAGTATGTATAACTTATCACATACCTCTTGCA